CCTCAGGGCAGCATTCTTGGTCCTCTTTTATTTCTTGTTTTTATAAATGATCTTCCTTCTACATTTTCATTTTGTAAAATCATGCTTTTTGCTGATGATGCCAAGTGTTTTATGCCAATTTCTTCTCTGCAAGACTGCATACTTCTCCAGAGTGACCTTACAAGTCTCTCTGAGTGGTGCCACACTTGGAATCTGTCTGTTAATGAAGAAAAATGCTCTGTTCTACTGGCCACTCCCCTGTAATGTGCAACTACAGTATGAATAGCAAAGAAATTTCTATAAATCCACAGGAAAGGATCTTGGATTGATTGTATCAGCCAACTTACGGCGGCGACTGCATTATCAGCTGATCACATCCAAAGCTTACAAAATGCTAGGCTTCGCAGAGTTTTTCTAAACTCCATGTCGGTATTGGCTAAACGCTACCTGTATACATCCCTTGTACGCTCTCAGTTGCTCTATTGTTCGGTCATAATTGGCATCCACACTTGTTGATGGATATAAAGTGTCTGGAACTCATTCAAAGAAGAGCAACAAAATTTGTCATGAAGGGTAGCTACTGCAATGGATTATAAAAATCATCTGATTTACATCTCTTACCGCTAATGATGGAGTTAGAAATTGCTGATATTCTCTTTCTCATCAAGTCCCTAAAATTCCCCTCCGAACACTTCAATATACTCAATTATGTCAAGTTTTGTGACAATCCTACACGCTCATCCTCTCATTTCAAGCTAAGGCACTCCTTTTGCAAAAACCAGGCTAAGAGAAATTTTTACTTCAATCGCATTCCCCGCCTTTGGAATTCTCTACCATCATTTGACATTGATCTCCCTATTGCTACCGTCAAGTCTAGACTGCGAAACCTCTTTTGGATTCAATTCATCTCACACTTTGATCCTGATAATGTGTGCTCCTATCACTATGTCTGTCCATGCCAAAAATGCTCTAAGCTTCCCATCTCAATGCATTTCACTATATAACTAGTTTTATCTAAATGTTGTCCATGTTATGTCCTATTCTGTGTATTTTTTTATGGCTGCTGGCTTGATGCCTTCAGTCCTTCAACACAGCGTGTGTGAAAAGTAAAGCGCGTACAAAGCCGCGCATGCGCACTTACACGACGTACGGCGGCCGCCGGATGTGCACGCGCATATTTTGCCCCGCGCCGTCCGACTGAGGCCGCTCGTGCACGCGCTCTACTGACTGTGCGCGCGAAGCCAGACTTCCCACGAATCTGCACGCACGGCGGAAGCTAGACTTCCTACGAATGACGGAAGTTACACTTCCGTTTGGTGACTAATTGACATTCCTAAGCGTGACTAATTTACGACACGTACGTACGTGCGAGAAGAGTAGTTGCCTCATATGGGAGGTGATTCGTGCCAAAATTCGACGATGTGACGAACCGGTTTTGTTCGTCTGGAGGAGGCGTGATTCGTCGGGCGGAGGCGCGTTTGTTCCAGTGGAGAGGCGTGTCTCGTCGAGCGGAGGCGCGTTTTTACGAGTGAAGAGGCGTGTCTCGTCGAGAGGAGGAGGCAAGTTTTTTGAAGTGGAGAGGAGCGCGAAAGTGTGGAGAAGGCGGGTCTCGTTCAGCGGGAGGGGCGCGGTTTATGCGGTGCTGGACACGTCGTGAGAGCCCGGATGTCAGACCTAGAGCAGCTGGTGAGTGCGACCTCTCAACTGCAGCAGCAGTTTCTTGAGAGCGCGGTGCGCGGTCTTGAAGGTCAGCCATACTAGCCGTGTATGAATAGCCATCCTAGGAAGTTATTCTTATTAACGCCGTCCTTGCCCTTTAACCGGAGGCGGTTCTGGGAACCCGACGGTGGAGATACGCCTCTCCACACGAAGAAACTCGCCTCCTTCCTCCTCTCGACTTGGCACGCCTCTCCACTTGAAAAAAAACTTGCCTCCTCTCGACGAGACACGCCTCTCCACTCGTAAAAACGCGCCTCCGCTCGACGAGACACGCCTCTCCACTGGAACAAACGCGCGCCTCCGCCCGACGAATCACGCCTCCTCCAGACGAACAAAACGGGCTCGTCACATCGTCGAATTTTGGCACGAATCACCTCCCATAGCCTCACGCTAACGCGCTCGCTAACGCGCTCGGCAATTTATATATAGAAAATTCCCCTCGAACGAACGACTAGGTTGGCTCGCTCCCGCTCGCCTATAATAAAATGTTGAGTAGAATCTCTCGTGGTCCGACAGTACACTGTGCTAGTTGAGGTGCGGGTAAATGGTCTCGATGTCCACATCCTGACGTAACATTCGATTCAGGATTCTCCTCTGTGCATCAACACCCATACTCTTCTGGGAGAAGTCCAAACGACAGGGGTTGGGTGCATCTATATAACCCCATCACTCCTGTTGCTGGGCTCCAAACAGTATAATACGCTGCACGGTATGTGGTTTAGCGCACCGCGCCTACCTGTGGGCGTATCTGGTTAAGTCCCACGCATTTCGTTTGGCTTGGATCATGGCTGGTACTTCGAGGTGTTCTCGCCCTGGCTATCTCTCTTTTCTTAAACATCTGAAGGAGTTGGAGTCAGCAGTAACAGATCCAGGAGGTCTGGCGGTGGAACTGTACAGCAATGGCCTGATAGATAGAGTGACGCGACAGAGAGCGTCCCTCGTTTCCGTGACGCAACTAGAGCGTAGTCGAGAACTGCTACAGAAGTTGGAGGATAAAATCGAGTCAGAGGAGTCCGTTTTTGACCTATTTACATCTCTGCTTGTTAAACATCCGACAATGGAGGACATATGCACGAAGTTGAAGATTACCAGAGGTAGTAGCTACGTATACGTAGCTATGTTAGTAGCAAGGATGTAGTAAAGGCGCATGCGTAGTGTATACTGTGTACTCATGTACAATAATATTCCACACTCTAGATGAGCTCAAAGATGACATGGTACAGGGCCGAAATACACCTGAAGAGCACCAGTCATGTAAGTGCATTGTGTAAACATGATTTGTATCATAATACCCCCTTTTATACAGCATGGATCACCACAAGAATGATCTTTATAATACTCACACTGCCTATCATCATACTTGGTGTGATGTGGTCTAACACAGACTGCTACCAGCTGGGACTCTGCCACTCAAAGAGTCTGCCATCTGTGAGTCATTTTGTTGGTCGAGAGGAAGACATTCGCAACATCACTGGCTACCTTGACTTTTCAACCTCAGCTGTTCAGGTAGTTCACATTGTTGGACCTCCTGGGTTCGGTAAATCCACTCTGGCCATGAAAATTGGGGAAAGCCTACTAAGGAAATGGGTTAGTGTTCATTATGCAGATGTCGGTCAAAAAATGGTTAGAGATATAGATACTCTTGCTGAAAAGATTGTACACAGTATGGTTGAGTCCCGTAAGACTAAGGTAACATTCAGTGATTTGGAGGAAAAGATACACCAACAATATTCAAAAACATTAATAATACTAGACAACTGTGATGAGATTTTGGAGCATTCAAAGGACAAATTTGTTGGTGCATTAAAATCATTAATTGCTCTGTCCCAAAAACGTGTGAGGTATCTTCTTACTAGCCAAAAATGGGTAGCTGACATTGGCAACTTTCGACTCCATGCCATTTACAACTTGTCATCTGAAGCAGCTATTCAACTGTTGGGTGAAGTAGCTCCTAGTTCAACAGATGATCAGAAGAGGCAAATTGCTGATCTGACAGGAAATGTTCCTCTAGCAATTGAGGTTGTAGCGGCTATTTTCAAGTTTCCTGGTGCTCCTACGGCAGAGGAAGTGATACAGGGCTTGAGAGAGAATCTAGTTTCCACACTGAGTCCAGACGAATTACATTCGAAAGTTGATGTATCCATGGGTGTTGCCTATAGTTATCTGACACCGGAGTTAAAGCAGTTGTGTGTTAACTTGTCCCACTTTCCAGGCAAGTTCTCCAAAGAGAGTGCTGTAGCTATCTTCAATTTTAAAGGCCAAATGCTAGACAAGTTAGTGCAGAGGTCTCTGCTACAATATGAAAGGAGCCAAAAGCAATTCCATTATCACCAGCTGTTAAAAATGTTTTTTACTCAAGTAAGCGATGGCAAGGATGGTGAAAAATTACAGTACTATTTTAGTAGCCGATACCAACTCCACTTTGGCCAGTTACTTCAAAAAGCTATTCCAGATAATGTAAACAAATTGGAACTGGAGATATTATATAATGAGGTACACAACATTTTGCACATGTTTACGCTGTTTATCAGCCACAAACATGTGAATTATACTTTCTTTGCAATTAAAACAGTATCACATGAACTTCGAATAAGTATTTTGCTGCGGTTTCTCCCACCTCTTACACCATTTCTTTTACTTAAGTGCTTGGATTCTTATTCCTCTGATGAGAGGGCTAGTGTGGATTTATTCTTTGAAACATATATTAGAGTAGTAATACTTGCAGCAAAATCAAAACTGAAAGTTAGACTTGCAATCCAACTGCTTTCGACTAACCGAAAGGAAGTTGACAAAGGATATAGGAATGGTACTTTAAGCCCTCACATGTACACACAATTTTATACAATACTGGGAAATTATTACAGTGAGATTAAGGATGTGGAAAAATCAAATCGTTGTTATTCTAAAATCCTTAGAAAAACACACAAAGAGCTCGATCATTGTTACCCAATATGTGACTACTTCAGCCTCTCCATTGCATATCAGAATATTGGGGACATAGAAATGGCCTTTAACTTCAGAAAGGCTGCATATCAACAAAGGACATTTTTAGCTCGCATGAATGAAATAAGGCTACAACTACACTTGTACAATGACTATATGAACACATCTCTTGGAAATGACTTCACTGAAGCAGAAGCTTTCGCAGTGGAGATAACTCAAAGAGCATATCAATATCTGCTGAATGCCGACAGAAGTGAATACTCTGAAGAAGTGTACTACATGGCCATCGACTTTTTCAGATCACAGAACTTGGAAGTAAACATGGTTGAGTTACAGGAAAAAATGGTTGCCAATGGCATTCCATGTGATTGTGACGAAACTCTTAAAAGGGGAGAGTACTTCAAAAAGACTAGAGAGTTGTTCTTATTACCTACAGATGATCCAAATGTTTCACGTAATATTGTTTGTAACTACATATGTGCTATAAATCGTGGAGATTCTGCAATTGATGCCTTCAGAAAGCAGTACTACCACCTGGCAATCTGGTATGGAGAACAAAGTTATGCAAGTGCAGATAACCTCGGGGAATCTTATGCTGAGTATAAATGTTTCCCATCACTGTTTGTTGGGATGGGTTACTATCAGCTGGGAAATTACTCTGCTGCAAATGTCTGGCTGCATGGTGCTCTGCAGTGTCTGAATAAGGCTATAAGACGCAATTTTCTCTCATTTCCACTGAGAGATGCAAGATTAGAATCTTGCATTCGTCTATTTCTAACCGGAGAAGTGCTAAACATCTGCTATGTTCACATTGTTTGTGACATTGTGATTTGCTCCATTGTATTATTATTGTTTCAGCTGGTATATCCATGTCTTGTGTGGAAAAAATACTTTGGACCCCAAGAAATCAACCTGAGCACTACAACATCATTGATGAAGCAGAAACACAGTTTTGTTTGGACCCAAATCAATGTCATAAGCAACAGTATTATTACACACTATATACAACAATGGACTAACACAGTGCTCCTTGTACTATTCATTATTGCTGTTTGCTGCTATTATTTACTAATGATGCGTTGTTGCTTGGCTGTTAGTCATGATGTTTACAGCAGAAAAATTCTTGTACGCATGTGTGTCACAATTTTTGCAGTTATTATCGTTTTTCTTGCCATTGATGAGCTGCTATATTACTTGTCATAATAACATTTTATCTTTATCACAAAATTATAGTTTGTCACAATTGGTATATATGAGCTGCATTCTGGAACTGTGAGCGAAACGTTAGCAATAATGACCCAATGAGCATTAATGGAAAAGAAGATCTAAAGGGCTCTGATACAGCAGGGACCTCTGGATTCTCATGTACTATATACTCATCAGCAGTTTCATGGCCAATTTATACTCTCGTTGAGACAGTTGTACTCAGTGTGGTTAAGTCATGGAAGACTAAGGCAACATAGCTCCCAGTTTAACAGATGATCAGAAGAGAAAAATGTGGTAGGCTCTGACAACTTATCACACAAGTTCGAGTTGCAGTACTTGCCTTATACCCAGAGTGTTAATTAAGGAATGGAATGGAATTTAAGCCTCCAGTTTTAGCATATTCCACATCTGTCTATTGTCTAAAGCCTGCACGAATTTGGGCTCAAAGTCCTGTCAACTCTACACTTATGGCCCAGGTTTCAGGCCACTGATAAAAGTGGCAAGGTTTTCTCAGAGCCTGTCTCTAACAGCTGATCTGACATGAAAGGTTCCACTAGCACTGGAAATAGGAGCCATCTTTAGGTTTCCAGATGAGACTGGGGGTCCAACTGATCTAAGTTCCATGGTTGATGTGTCTATTCGTATGGTTTGTCTCCTGAACTAAAGCAGTTGGGAATAAATTATCTGTCCCACTTTCCAGGGAGCTGTTCCCCAAGACAGGTATCGTCCAAAGATCAACAGTCTCTTCTTTAGATTGTTTAGTGAAACTCTTGTACATGCATCTGATTGTATTTCAAAACCAGGCCCTTGTGTTTTCTGCTCTTTCTTCAGACTGGAGATGACTTTAGAGATGTCTGCAGTGGTTGATTTGAGAACGTTCCCTATCATTGCCAGACAGAGGAGGGATTTTCCAGCTATTAGTTTTGTGATAGACTCACAATCTCTTGCACTTAAATCTCTCTCACTGACACTACGCAAGAGTTGGCATGAGCTGTCAAAAGTGATTGACTCGATTTCGTACTCAGAGCTGTGATCAGACAAGGGAATCTTCTTTCTACTAGCGATGAGAACTTTGACTGTTGCTGCAGCATTTTCGAACAGCATGTCGATATAATATTGTAACACTCTTTTTCGATCAGTAGCAAGCATTCTATCAAAGTTGTCAAGTATCACAACTATAGGGTATTTCATCTCCCTACGCAGCCAGTGAAGCAATCTCTCAGTAAAATTCCCACTGCCATGAACAGAACCTGTTGTCTGAATGATCACATCTGGCAGGCTGTCCAGAGAAAGAAGACTAGCATCAAGGTAGCTAACTGTAGCCCCACTGTCTATAAGCTGGTGCCCAACTTGAACTGTGAGACAACTCTTCCCTATACCAGCGGCACCGACTAGATTTACTATTCTCACTTCATCACTCTGCATGTCCAGTACTCTCATTAGGTCACTAGTCTCTCTGTCTCTACCGAGGAATGGTGCACAAGGCTGTGGGAGGAGGAGAGAGTGTGTGGACCATTCAAACAGTTGTTTTAGCTGGGATTTATGGAAGAGAAGGGGACACGATAGCAGGAGCAGTAGACCAAACAATGCGAATACAGATGCCTCTGTAGGGAAATTGATAGTCATTTGATACAACATACTGAAAACACACAGGTTAGTACCCCACATGGCAGTGATACCATTCCAAGGCAAATAAAGCCATGCCTCGTGACCATAATACGTGCACTGCCACTGAGAATCTCTTCCGTGGAGTAAACAACTCAAGATGCGACTAGAAAAGTGTGCTGTACTGCCTACAGTGAACATCAACAGAAAAGACATACACAAACGACTCACTTTTAATTGTTGATAAACGAGGGGCGGGTATCCGCAGGCACTTGCCGATATCGAGATTGTCTCTGTCGGCACGATCAACATCTCGCTGCAACAGGTCTGCGACCTCTTCGTGGCCACTAGCGTCGCGACTAGACCTCTGCAGACAATCTATAAAATGCACTACTGCCTTTCATGGGTATCCACTGTAACAGTTTGTCTATCTTGAACTGTCGTGTGTGGTAAACGTTGAGTAGAATTTCTCTCTCGTGGTCCGACAGTAGACTGTGCTCGTTGAGGTGCTGGTAAATTGTCTCGATGTCCACATCCTGACGTAGTCTTCGGTGGTTGCGATTCAGGATTCTCCTCTGTGCATCAACACCCATACTCTTCTGGGAGAAGTCCAAACGACAAGGGTTGGGTGCATCTAGATCTACCCCCATCACTCTTCCAACAGCAAGTATAATGCCCGTTTGTTTACGAGCTGACCACGCCTCCTTGCGGGCGTATCTAGTTAGTCCCACGTGAAGAAACACGGCCGGTACTGCGACGTGTTCTCGCCCTGGCTATCTCTCTTTTCTCAAACACCTAAATGAGTTGGAGTCAGCAGTAACAGATCCAGGGGGTCTGGCGGTGGAACTGTACAGCAATGGCCTGATAGATAGGGTGACGCGACAGAGAGCGTCCCTCGTTTCCGTGACGCAACTAGAGCGTAGTCGAGAACTGCTACAGAAGTTGGAGGATAAAATCGAGTCAGAGGAGTCCGTTTTTGACCTATTTACATCTCTGCTTGTTAAACATCCGACAATGGAGGACATATGCACGAAGTTGAAGATTACCAGAGGTAGTAGCTACGTATACGTAGCTATGTTAGTAGCAAGGATGTAGTAAAGGCGCATGCGTAGTGTATACTGTGTATTCATGTACAATAATATTCCACACTCTAGATGAGCTCAAAGATGACATGGTACAGGGCCGAAATACACCTGAAGAGCACCAGTCATGTAAGTGCATTGTGTAAACATGATTTGTATCATAATACCCCCTTTTATACAGCATGGATCACCACAAGAATGATCTTTATAATACTCACACTGCCTATCATCATACTTGGTGTGATGTGGTCTAACACAGACTGCTACCAGCTGGGACTCTGCCACTCAAAGAGTCTGCCATCTGTGAGTCATTTTGTTGGTCGAGAGGAAGACATTCGCAACATCACTGGCTACCTTGACTTTTCAACCTCAGCTGTTCAGGTAGTTCACATTGTTGGACCTCCTGGGTTCGGTAAATCCACTCTGGCCATGAAAATTGGGGAGATATTCGTAAGGAAATGGGTCAGTGTTCATTATGTAGATGTTGGGCAAAAAATGGTTAAAGATAAAGATACTCTTGCTGAGAAGATTGTACTCAGTATGGTTGAGTCCCATAAGACTAAGGTAACATTCAGTGATTTGGAGGATAAGATACTAAAGCAGCATTCAAACACACTGATAATACTTAACAACTGTGATGAGCTCCTAGAATACACGGAAGAAGAATTTTGGAAAGCCATAAAGGCATTGACACTTTCATCACCCAGGAAAAGTGTAAGGTACCTCCTTACTAGTCAACATCAGGTAGCTGACATTGGCAACTTTCGACTCCATGCCATTTATAATCTCTCATCCGAGATGGCTATCAAAATGTTAGGTAGAGTAGCTCCTAGTTTAACAGATGATCAAAAGAGGAAAATAGCAGATCTGACAGGAAATGTTCCACTGGCTCTGGATGTAGTTGGGGCTATCTTTAAATTTCCGGATGCTCCTACAGCCAAAGATATAATACAAGGCCTAAAAAGTCACCCACTTCAAACATTAAGTCCAGCTCAGTTACTTTCTAAAGTCGATGTATCAATTGGTATTGCTTATAGTTATCTGACACCAGAACTGAAGCTACTGTGTGTTAATCTCTCCCATTTTCCAGGAAGCTTTAATATAGAAAGTGCCGCATTTATCTTTTCATCCACTAAAGAAATGTTAAACGAATTAGTGCAAAGGTCACTGCTACAGTCCAGTCATGGCAGACAGAGGTATTATTTGCACCAACTACTCAAGAAGTTCTTTATGAGTCAAGAAGGTGAAAGAACAGCACTTCAACACCATTTTGACACTCAGTTCCAACTATACTTTACTTGTACTCTTGACGAAATAGTGACAAACTATGACAAGACTTTAGAACTAACTAAATTAGACGAGGAGAAACACAACATTAACCACATGTTCACCTTATTCGAAATAGCTAGGCACGTGAACATAACTTTCAGTGGGATCCGGGTGACATTACATGCAATGAGAACGAGAGTTTTGCAGTTGAGATTTCTGTCAATGGAAGTGACTAGAGTTAGTCTGAAAATGCTGGCAGCTCTAGACTCCTACAAACCTCACGAATGGCCTGAGGTATCATTCCTGACAGCATACATTAAGGCTATAAAACTGGTTGCTGAGCAGCAGTGGTTTGTAAGTAAAATGGATGCAATAAAAACCATGGCATCAAGAAGGAAAATAGTTGATGAGGGATATCAGGAGAGACAAATATCTGTAAGTGAGTTCACAAACTTCTACAATGTACTAGCATGGTACTACAAAGAAATCGAAGACAAAGTAAAGTCAACTAGGTGCCACACACACATTCTTATTACCATTCATGGGCAGCTGACACATTGTAGCTCAGATTGTGACTATCGCAGTGTTTCCATTGCATACGATAACATAAAAGACAGAATGCAGGCATTTCACTTTCGGCAACTTGCGTACCAGTACCAGTTACACTCTTTAGATGGGATGGAGCATGCAAAAAAAATTTTCTGAGCCAAGAGTACGGGAAATCAAGTGGTTCAACTGCAGAACAGAATGATCTACAATGCAGTGCTATGCACTGAAAGTAACTGTACTGGGTCTTTGAAAAGAGGAAATCATTTTAATGGCATGAAGGTCTTTGCAAAAAATTATCTCATAAGAGAGGCGCAACCTGGTCTAATGACTAGATGTGATTTCATATGTGCTGCTCACTATGCAGAACAGGCACAGGAGGCCTACGACAATGAATGCTACCATCTGGCAATATGGGCCGGGGAGCAGAGCTGTGCGTACATTGATAAACTGGGAGAGCCCTACACAGTGCTTAAATTTAACCGGAATATATTATCGCTGCAAGTTGCTATGAGATGGGAAACAATCATTCTGCAACACGCATCTACCTTAAGCGTGCTCTGGAACACATAAACACTGCTATCAGATTCGAGTAGCTATTTCTCATGGGAGCTAAGAAGTTCAAGAGCAATTTTATCCTGTTATTCAATACTAGTAAACAGACTACTTTCCAATCCACTCCACTACATTTATATCCTTAAAGATATCATAGGCGTTTTGGCTGTTGTTTTTCCACTAAGGGTGCTTGTACCTCCAGTATATATACGTGACCTTAGTGAAGGTCTGCAGGCTAAGGAAGTGGTAATGAGTGTAGAAACAGGACTTACAGAACAAAACAACTTTTTAAGGTCTCAGTTTGATACCTTCTACAATTACAGTCTTATTGCATGGGAAATTTTAAATTTTATGATTGCTGTTCTAGTTATTGTCATGTACTATATATCTTGCTGTGTAATAATTATGGTTATACTATTACACTATAACTTTTCGTTGTTGTTTCCACACACGATTCCGAACACTACTCTGCATTTTGATTTTAATGTTGCTCTTCCTTTCTGATTGGGTGTAAATATTCTTGTAATTGAGATGTCTTATTAATTTCTCTGTTCAAGTCTTTTTATAACCTGGATCCTGGTTTTGTACAGTCCGGCTCCAAGCCACACAGCAACTTTCATAAAAGTAAGTGTAATTAGATAACAGCTTATTGAACTTTTACTTGAGACACTGTTTTTAACAACACAGAGCAAATCACCAGAGAAAGATAAATTGTTGCCCTAGTTTTGCAGAGGGAAAAGTAAGCTAATACAGGCACTAGCTACCAACTGCAATTGCAGTGGTCAAATTGAATGATAAAAGGCGATAGAAGTGGAATCGGAATGAACCTTGTGAGTAGAAAGAGTGATCTCCTGGTTAATTACAGTACACAACAGCTTATAAAATATAGTCAGCAAGTCATGGGTCACTATAATTATCCTACTGAGCATCCACATAGTGCAAATAATTTCCAGAGAGTTCCAAGTATCACACATACATAAACATGAAACAAGATGTACATAGGGATGGCACCTTCTGTCTCGGTGTGGCTCTTCTTGTCTCCTTTGTTTTCATCCCTATGCTGTTTCCAGTTGTAATCGTAATACAAAGAGGTGAAGTTAACATTATGTTGCGTTTTTAAGGGCTACAATGAAAGGATGCAAGATATTTTTGACAATGCAAAGAGCTCGAGAAAAATTAAACCTGAGCTAGTAGTATACAAGTGGAAAAATCATTTCTTCAAAATGAAGGGGGATATAGGGATGGCTTGAAGCACCAAAAACGAAGATATGAAAAGCACTAAAGTGCAAACCCTCGGCGAACAGGGGATGCGCGGTACCGCTAATTGATGGGCTGGGCTGCTATTAGTATGCGTTTACTCGTGGTCTCCCGCTAGTAGCTCGCAGAGAGTCTGACACGGGCTAGCTACAGTAGTAGATAGTATGCGAGAGTCGATACACGCCCTTCGTTGTGACTTCTTGTGCCTTCAAGATACACAGAGCAAGCGGACCCGGTCGAGGTTAAAGCCTGTTGAAAATATAAGCGCATGCGCGTTTTCCGCAGCGATAAAAATGGCCGACTACGCATTAGCCGTACAATGGTGGAAGCGCTCTAACTCTGCAACGGAGCATTTTCAGAGAAAATCCCACATATTTTCTGACCTTCGTCGCCCGTTGGGTAGATGGTATCGTTTCTGAGACGAACAGACATTCGAGAGGTGAGATGTAGAGTAACAGACAAACAGACAGACCCAACTACTGTACCCTCGCTGCGCATGCGCGCCGAGGGTAACAAGTGGTCATTACACGCCAAATATGCACAAAGCCACATGACACCATCCCTATATCTTTGTCTCATATTAAACTTTGCTTATGAACAATAAAACAAAGATATAGGGATGGTGTCATGTGGCTTTGTGCATATTAATTTTGGTGTGTAATGACCCCTTGTTTCTTCATTTTTGGTGCTTCAAGCCATCCCTACCCTATATCCCTTCATTTTGAAGAAATGATTTTTCCACTTGTTTCCACTATTTTTAATGGCTTATGACAACACTGCATATTCAGTCACTCTGATGTTCATGGGTATGTTGTAGAGATTACTGTTGAAAGCAGAAGTTAGCTAATGGACAGCTTACAGACTCTCAAAGCATCATCTGTCACCACTTCTACTTTGAATGGTAAGCACTGCTGAGTTGATGCCCAAACAATCCAAATGCCATGGGATTTCAAACCTGGCATAAATAATTGCGATTCAGCATTAAAGCCTTCAAATTTCACTACCTGGCAATTTGGCTAGGATTTGCAAGTGCAGATATTAACCTCGGTAATCTTATGCTTTGTTGGTAGCTACACTCTGTCCCCTGAAGCAGCTACCCAACTGTTGGGTACATTAGCTCCTAGTTTAACAGATGATCAGAAGAGGCAAATAGCTGATCTGACAGGAAATGTTCCACTAGCACTGCAAGTTGTAGGGGCTATTTTTAATTTTCCTGATGCTCCTACTGCAGAGGAAGTGATACAAGGTTTGCAAGAGAATTTGATTGATACACTGAGTCCAGACGAACTCCATACCAAAGTTGATGTGTCCATTACTATTGCTTACAATTATCTGAGGCCAGAACTAAAACAATTGTGTGTTAACTTGTCCTACTTTCCTTTTGATTTCGACAAAGAGAGTGCTATGTTTATCTACAATTTCAAGGAAACCATGCTTCACACATTAGTACGACAGTCTCTTCTACAGCATAGACGTCATAGCAAGCGATACTTTTTTCATCAATTTTTAATAAAAATTTTTATTCGTATATTTGTACTGTTTACAAGACATAAAGATGTAAATATAACCTTTTATGCAATAAAAGTTATGACGGATGAAGGTAGACTGCCATTATTGTCACAGTTACTTTACCCTGGACTGTATATGACAATGCTTCGTACCTTAATGTCTTATACACCTTACGAAAGAACTAGGGTGGAATCATTTCTGGAAACATACATTCAGGTTGTAATACTTGCTGCAAATTCGCAAAAGGAAACTAACATAACTCTAAAACTTTTGGATTCCTTTGTTAAGGATGTTAGAGAAGCTTATGAACAAGGTACTTTAAGTCTTAATACTTTAACAAAGTTTTTTAGAACATTGGCACAGCACTTGAAAGATAAAGGATATGAAAAAGAATCTGTTTTGTGTCATGCTTATGTTCTAAGAACGACAAGGAACAAACTTGTTCATTGCTATCCAGA